TTAATTAGAGTCTAAAAAAGTGACAAAAACTCCCCTGCCTTTTTACTGTGGGCACAACTGAGTGAGTGAGTCCTTGGTGTGAAATCCAGGACTTATCTAACTCAAGTCCGTTGTTGTTGTTGTTGTACAGGTTGTCGAATAATCCATCTGTTTCAGCTATTATAACATCTCCAGGAGCGACAGCAACCCTGAAAACCTGACCTGAGCTTGGCAAATCGCGTTTTCTTCCACTCTCCTGCTGATAGGTGAAGTTGAAGTCATGTTGTTGAACAGGGGAACGGAAAACTGTAATGCCCTTCATGGACAACCATGAACCCGCTGTCCTAAGTTGATTATATGAAGTCCCTGGTTGTAGGCTATGATGCGAGCCGTTGAAGACCCTTGCGACTTTGTGCAAGTATGAGTTTTTTCCAATACTCTGGCTGGATCAATCGAACTTTTAGGCTCATCTTGGATTACATTCACTGAGTTAGACATAAGCTCGCGAGAATAGTAACCTGCATCGATACCGAGCTCTGCCCTCTGCTACACCAATGCTTGCTCCTCTGCACAGATAAAGTGTGCATCCGCTCCCCCCAGTCACCTCTTTATCAGGATGCGGTAGATAACACGACCCCGAGACAAGCTTTAGAAGGTTAGTACATAGCTTAGTCGCTACTGAATCAGAAGAATATCTAATCTCTTCCTCAGTAACAGAGTTCTCTAAAGAGACATCTGGCGCATTCCCAGCTGATAATCGACTAAAGAGTGAGCTATGCAAGCCTCTAAATCCCCATCCACTTCTTTGAGGATTCAAGTAGATCCATCTCACTGCACCTTTATAAGCAAATACCCATAGATTGTAGATTTTTCCTGGTGATCTTCTCCTCTGTGGCTCTGTATTGAGGTTTTTGTACGATGGGTATGTTTCACAATTTTCATCGATTAAAACACCACAGGCTCTTTCATCTGAAGATATAAAGCATTGACTAAGTCAAAAATACTGTCTCTACGAGGGTGAGAACAATCTCCAGACACAAAAACATCCCTTTTCCCATCCACTTCTAGCCAGCTACATCCCGCTGGCTTTTTCATTTCCTTTTTCTTCATTAGGTTTCTCAACTCCATCACGCCTTCCCATTTAGCATCTGCAGCATACATATTCGATATGAGAACGTGGTTTCCGGTGTCGTCAGATTCAGCTTGCAAAAGATGATTTGCAACTGAGTGCCCCAGATCCATCCTATTATAGGTTGTACACGCCCTTAACAGTGTTCCCCATATATTTGCATTGGGTTCAACTGGCATCTGTGTGATGAAAGAATATGCATCATCAAGTCGACCCCCTCGAGCAAGTAGATCTACAGCACAAGCATATTGTTCCATTGTAGGTTTCATACCGTGAACTGCCCTTATTGAGTCATATATTTGCAATCCATCCTGTATTAATCCCGCATGACAGCATGCAGTCAACAGAGTAGTTATGAAAACATGATCGGGCTTTATGTTTGAGTCAATCATATGAGAGAAGATCATAAGTGCTTCCTTACCCCTACCATGTACAGCATACCCAGCTACCATAGCAGTGAACATAACCAGATCTCTACGAGCATCTGACTGGAAGACAGAATATGCATGCTTCAAGCTGCCACATTTAGCATATACATCTAGTAGAGTCCCCTTCAGGCGGATATCACCAAGTCTGCCTCTAATAATATATCCATGACATTGTCTTACTAGATGCAGAGAGGCTAGCTGCGCACAAACAGGAAGGAGATTCATTATAGTCACAGTGTTAGGCCTCATTCCTCGAGCTTGA